ACCGTCACATTATAACGCCCCCACGGCTGAAAGGGCGAGCATGTTTGGTGTGACGGGGATTCGAACCCGCGACCCTCAGATTGCGAATCGAGCGCCGTAACCACCTGGCCATGCCGGGCCAGTAAGTGACGTAGACAGACTTCTGTTAGGGTGTCTAACAAGCGCACCTTCTGTATCCAAATACAAGATTTATCGCCCAGGTCTTTTCTGGAACGTATTATAAACATTGTGTTACCTTACAATATATTCTCAGTCAAATTAAATGTAGTGGTAATTTTTGATAACGGTTAATATATCTAGTTGGGTGTCAACTGCATCCAAATAATAAACACGGATAATTTCTGCAAAACACAAAACTACATTATCTGAAAATTAAATTTACATAAATGCCGGAATATTACAAAATATATTTTACAATAAGAAAACAAAATGTTTCTTAGATAACTACTACTGGTTATTAAAAGTAAGTTTTGTAATTAACAGAAACGTAAGAGCATTAGAAAATTAAATTTAAGAATATCTGATAAAGTACTTCCCATGAAACCCCCTGCCATTTATTGTGATTAACAGAAATGCAAAAACATTTCACAAGTAAATATTGTGATATATGAAAATATATCATTGCAATTAACAGAGGAAAATATTACAATTTTTTTTATTTATTTATCTCGATCAAATCCCGTTACTCATAATTGACATCAATAATCCGAGAGTATCCACAACTACTGACCCAGAAAACTGTTACACTCGTCAATAATCGTACTTACCATTTTCCTGTCCTGTATTACGTAAAAAAGTCGAGCCTACGCTTCACTTCAGCTTCTTGACAGTTTGATCTGGCGGTGGTTAGTAAACAAGATTTCTTTTGTAGCTTCATATTTAACGTGAGTTTTAGAAATAAACATGATTATTTTTTATCTATCTATCTAGCTCAGCATGCGATATAGGTTTTGGGCTAACATAGATTAATTTAATATACCTAATGTAAGACTCCATAGCCTCACACACACATATAAATGTGTGACGTAGACGCTCTTTATGCCAAAAGTGTGTTTGTTTCTGTTTTCCTGTTGAAACGATAACAAGATTTAAGTATTCATGGACTAATTACTTACAACCTCTCCTATATTAGTTCATGTTTTACAAACAAACACGAGCTTTTATTTGGAGAGAGAAGAAGAAAATACGAAATGTATTCGCATGAAGTTCCGTCGAAATCGTCTCTTATCCCGCACATTGGGTGTATGACGTAACACAACGACAAAAACAAAGAATCATATTACTAACCGGGATATGCAATACCTTAAGGAATGCTGGAGTTCGATATCAAGTTTCTATCTTAACAAACATATTTATTGAACTGATTAAGGTTTGAATAAAAGATCATTGTTGGATATGAAAGTATGGTTCAAGAAAATGTCAAGGATATAGCGGTGCCGATGTACGATAATCTAAGAAACACTTACTTTTACATGAAATTAGATCACTAGATTTTTTTAAGAAGTCTTATCTTGGCCTAATATTTATTCAGAGAACTACCCGAGTCATGGAATGTTAACCTTGCTAATATGAATATAAGAAGTATACCAACAACCTGAGTGTCCTTCTACTGAAACATGGTTTGTTTGTTTGTAATTAAGCACAAAGCTACACAATGGGATATCTGCACTCTGCCCACCACGGGTATCGAAACCCGGATTCTAGCGTTGTAAGACCGCATACATACCGCTGTGCCACTGGAGGGAGGCACAGAAGCACGGAATTCTAAGTTCAAAGGGCTTTCTTTGAATTTTGAATGATATGTATAAGTACAGTTTTTTAATGAATGCCGCTCAAAAACAGCCCTTCCTTTCTCTCTATCTATTCACCTATATACTTTGTCTTTCTATTAGTATACTTTGTCATTAGATAAAAGCGTTTTATAATTTATGTTTTGCCAAGTTCTTGAACACTGTATTTCTGAAACTCAACATGTGGTTTGTACAAAACATGAATATATGTATATCTTCTCAACTTTCTCCTCATAGTTAACGTTATAGCCAGTTCTGCTCTATTTATAAGACTATATTGTAATCCGATTCTCTCCTTGTGCTGATCCTATATTGTGTCCTCCGGTGGGACAGCGGTAAGTCTTCGGATTTACAACACTAAAATCAGGGGTTCGATTTCCCTAGGTGGACACAGCAGATAGTCTGATGTGGCTTTGCTAAACACACACACTCCTCTATTGTATTTAGCTTTCTTCTCATGATAATCCCACAAAAGCTATCTAGTTTCTTTTCCTAATGAACTTATATCGTATCCAACTCTCTATTTATGAACTTCAATCTACCTAAGTCTTACATCATAAAAATCCTAAACAGTGTCCGACTCTCTACTTACATTTAATCTATATTATATTTTATTCTGTCCTAACGACATTGTATTGTATCTAACAGTCTTTAAAGGATAATAATGTATTTTATTTAGATTTTGTTTCATTATCAGCTTCAGTAAAATATTCAATTCTCCTCTCATTATAAATCAAAATCGAATGAAGCTTCTTGATGATAAAACTTTTCATCAGCTTTGCTTAGCTTTGCTCTGTATCCAGCTTTTGTCTCATAACTACCCTCTGTTGCATGTGGCGCTTAGTATATTAAAGTAAGATAAATTATTAAAGTTTCTAATATATCTAATATCATATATAATAAAATAAAAAGCCAAATAAAGACAAAGTAGAATTAGATAAATGTAAATTGAAAATAATACTGATAATGCGCAATGAAACTTTAATTTAAATTGGATAAAATCTCAAACACGAAAATTCCTCCGGTAGGACAGCGGTAAGTCTATGGACTTGCAACGCTAAAATCCAGGATTCGATTCTCCGCGGTGGAAACAGCAGATAGCCCATTATAGCTTCATTATAAATAAAAATATATATATATATCAAGTTTTTACTTGTCAAAACACTCTTCATTTGATAATAAACCTATATTGTACTCGACGCAAACTGCAAAAACCTGATAGTAATTCGATTTAAATCACTTGATCCTAAGCCTAGTGTTCAAAATCAGATGGAATCGGGGGTGCTCAGAAATACATTTCTCTTCACCCCACACGAGATAAACGATATTTGAAAATAGCTTCACGAAAAACAAAAACAAAACCCTGATAATTAGATTATATGGCTAGTCGCAATGTTTCAATCAGGCAAGCAAAGGAACGAGAAACCGAGGACGACACGCGATTGGCGAGTAACCCAACCCAACGGATGGGGGCTTGTAGATCCAATACCCAGAATTTTGGTGTGGGAGGAAAACAGGAGTAACCTGAGAAAAACCCACTTTCATTACCAGGACGCCGAATATTCTATCCGGGTATTGCCTGAGCTGTGTATCTGAAGGGCGTTACTGGTTACAAATATAATAAGGAGATTAATAATGGTTGGAGACGGCTTGAATGGGTAATGAAGAAAAACTTTAATATAAGTTTAACATAACAGCAAATGTACAACGTTTCGACAAGGTTTTGTCATCATCGGGTTTTCGCCTTACGTATGTAAGAAAGGTTAAATAGACTCTGATTTAACTAAAAATCATCATTTCATATCGCATTTAAAGGTGTTCTTGATATATTGACTTTAAAAAATCATTATTTTATAACACATCTAAAGGTGTTTTTGTTGATGTATCAATTCTGTTTTTCTTCTGCCTAGAAGATTAACAAGGTCCTGGTTTGATGCTTATAATGAAAATTTTGACTACTTGGGATTTTCGATTCTTCTCATACAGGGATTTATCACAGACTTAGATTAAATAACCTAAAGAGTGAACAAATTGTGACAAACTGAGTACTCTCAGTAGTTACATTACTTATTCCAGAAGGATAAAGG